TGGTGCAATGTGACGAGGAATGTCAAGCGGTGGTTGAGCGTACTCAGCCAAGGCCAGGGTAAGGTTGCGAGTGGGCGCCGGCTGAGACCCTTCCTGGGTTCTCGGTACCAACCATAAAGATCCATCCCGACTCAGGTCGGGGTGAATAACCCACAAAGTAAAGATCCAGAGCAGAGCGATGAATTATCGTCTGTCGGATGTTTTTCACTCCCTTTGTATGTGCGTGTGTAAGTATAAGAAGATACGAATATCCTGGCCTCCACACTCGAAAGAAAAACAAAAAACGGAAACAGTCCGACAAACAAAAAATAACGGAAATAACCAAGACAAACCTCAACCATAACCATATACTTCGAAGTACAGTCGAGGTCCCGGTTTACCGGCCCCTTGTTTACCGCTTTGCCCACTTTACCGGCCCTTTTTTTTCCTTGACACGCCCGCACCCCGGTTTACCGGTTATGTGCCGGTATACGGGGGTCCTCCCTTTTTTCATGCTTGCGGAGCCCCTTTTGCTGCTGCTGCACACTCCCACACACACTGCTGCACACAACACAACACAACACAGCACTCCGGTTGCTGTGGGTAGCAGCCAACACCTGCCTGCACACCATGTCGTGTGCGGCAGGAGAATTATGCCACCTTAGTGACAGGAATATCACCCCAGAACTCTCCTGCTGTGCCCCGTGCGGAGGTCGTCTGCATCGCATTTGCGGCGAGATACAAAATCCTGAAGGCGACGAGGAAGTCAACCGTATCTGCCAGTCATGCGCTGCAGCAAATGAATCGGCCAGCTGTACCAACACCAGTACCAACACCCACTCGAATGCGGCCAAGCGTACAGAGGGAGGGGGTACCGCCGTTTTCGGAGCTATCGTCGTTTTTTGGACCGCTAGAAAAGTACGCAGAGTCTTGTGGCATCAGTGGAGCAGCGTATCATCTTCGTAAGGCGAAAATGGATTTCATTCAAGCAATGTCCTCCAAACCAGCCGTGCAGGCAGACATTAGAACCATGTTTTCAGAGTCATGATTGGTACAGTGTAGCAATATAGCACAGCGCAGTACACCAGCAGTAACTGTAGCAGTACCACAGCCAAGTGCAGTACGGTTGTAGAGAACGGCAGCTGTACAGGGTAGAGTACAGTAGTGGTGCTACAAATGATGAGTTCGTGTGTTCCATTGAATGGTTGGGTCCGGTGATGAACACTGTACTGTAATGAGAAGCACTAGCACTTCGTGTTCTCGGACGTAAGTGTTCCAATGAAGTACATTCATTCCTGCTTGTGCACTTCAAGCATTGCTGTCGAAACTGACCTGCTGCCTTCGATATACAGTGTGGGTACTGTACAGCGAATCACACACTCGTCTATACTACTACTACTTACTGTAGGTGCTGGTTACCAGGACAGCAGGAGAAACAGACAGGCCATACTGTTTTCAAAGTCTGTGGAGATACACCTGCTCTTCCTACGCTCGTGGGGGCGTTTTCCCCAGTATACCGGCATGTACCGGTAAACAGGTACCTGTTTACCGGTACATGCCGGTATACTGGTTTACCGGTTTGCCCTGTTTACCGGCCCTTGTTTTTCTTGCCACTAGGGGCCGGTAAACCGGGACCTCGACTGTACTTCGTACATCGAACCAGGGCCAGGGCCATGACTGACCAAGGCAAACGCAAACCAGGGCGATGGTCCAGTAACTATAAGATCAATAGACGAACGACAAAAAATAAAATAAAAAAGAAGAAATACAGGGAGGGCACAAAGACTGAGGGAGTGCATTCGTAGACAAACACAACAAACAGGCCGCCAAACAAAGAGGAAGCAGGGGAACGAAAAGGGAAAATAAGACCGGAAGTACCGGAAGTCGGGGGGGGGGGGGGGGGGGGGGAAAAAAANCTCCCTCTTTCTTGAGCCACTCGTTCGTGAACCGCCGTGCACCCTCGTCGATCCTGTCGTACCACTCGTCAGCTCTCTTGGCACTTGCCTCCCATCCCTCTTTTTTGTCGACCACGATGTCGAACGCTTCGAGGTCCTCCTGCATTCGCCTCAGCCAGTCAAACCTTGCCCCCCCAGATACCTCGCTCCCCCCTGCAATTCTCCCAAAAGAGCAATTTTCGGGAGTCTCTCGTCTCTCATGCGCGCAACGAATCCTGCGAAGTGTATCGGCGCCTGATTCGACTCGAGGACTGCAGCCGTCCGGAAGGCTCTTGGCGCTTCCTCCCATCAGCCATGGCCTTAGGGCGACCCTGTGAACTACTCACTGTGTGGTTGTGTGGCCTGGGGATGGCGTGCGTACGACAGCTCGTGTGAACTGAGTACCTATGCAGGCGTGCCCGAACTTGGAGGCACGTCTGCCCGAAATGCGGGTTCAAATTTCCCGGGAACCCTGAAATGAGAGTATTTCGGGATTTTTTGGGCAGCGCTCATTTCAGGGAAAACGAGAATAACGCCTGCACATTGTCGGAGATTTTCGGTTTTCAGAAATGATTCTCTGTTTCCCGGCAAAAATCCGGAATGATTAGAAAGGGCCTAAAAAACACTTTTTTCTTCCTTCCCGCCAATAGCAAACAACAAAAGAAGAACAACAACGTGATCTCTTGGGTGAGCTCCCACGCCCACATCTATCTACCGGTGGTGCACTCGTCCTCAGCCTTGCTTGGCCGCGATGCAGGCGAACATTTGAGCCCACAGCTAAGTGTGGTGGGGTGGTGCAGATGATCAACAACTAACAGCAGACCAACAGCACAACAGGAGGAGTATCTGTCAGCCAGGGAGCTGCTCGCTATCGGCGTTGTTGTGGTTATCAGCGATCGGCAGTGAGTGAGTGATCGCTACTGTTTTTATTTTATTTTTTGTTCTTGATGGCTTTCTCGACGTTTTTCTGTTACGTATGATATCTTGTTCATCCAATTGTTGATTCTCACATTAGCTCACTACCGCCGCAGTCTAGCCCGTGGTCACAAACCAGGCACATATCTTGCTAGGAGGAAAAATATATACTTTATATATATGGATTATGATCACCCACAGTCGAATCAGATATGGTACCGTTGGGGCACCATCTGTGGTGGCCAGAGTACCAAACAAAATACAGAAAAAAATAACAGGCTCGAAATAAAAATAAAAAATGGAAACAGTCCGACAAACAAAAAATAACGGAAATAACCAAGACAAACCTCAACCGTAACCATATACTTCGAAGTACTTTGTATATCGAACCAGGGCCCAGGGCCATGACAGACCAAGGCAAACGCAAACCAGGGCGATGGTCCAGTAACTATAAGATGAATAGATGAACGACAAAAAATAAAATAAAAAAGAAGAAGATACAGGGAGAGCACAAAGACTGAGGGAGTGCATTCGTATACAAACGCAACAAACAGGCCGCCAAACAAAGAGGAAGCAGGGGAACGAAAAGGGAAAAGAAGACCGGAAGTACCGGAAGTCGGGGGGGGGGGGGGGGGGGGG